CCAAAAAAAAAAAAAAAGGCGGCGGGGGGGGGGGGGATCCCCCCCCCCCCCCCTCTCCCCCGCCCAAAAGAGGGGGGGTTTTTTTTTTTTGGGGGGGGGGGGGGGGGGGGGGGGGGTTAGATGTTGGCGCTGGACAGGGTACTGCAGGCAGGGGTGGGGGAGCTGGTCATGTTTCGCATGGCATTGGCCACTGTGGGGGGGGGTTCCCTTCAGGGTGGCGGTGGGGATGGGGACGAGGGGAGGTTGGGATTAGACATCTGCTGGACACGGAAGCTACTGTAGGGGGAGTAAGGATGCAATCTAGACTACAGGAGATTCCGAGCTGCAGGTGTCAGAGTGATCTTCTGTCGGAACTGGGGGGGGGCGCCTTTGTCGTGGTAGTGGGGACGTGATGTAGAGCAGGCGGCGGGCGGGTGTGGGAGAAGAAAACTACGGCAGGAAGATGAGGCCGTATCACGTCCTAACATTGGTACCTTTGGCTCCTCGGCTACCGTCGCGCAGACAACACTACACCACATCCAAGCATTGAACCACAAATACAGGATTGGCTGTTCGCTCTTGTCCCACGCTACCTCACACCTCACACCTCACACCCTCAAAACGATATATGTCTTCAGGACTCACCAACTGTACACAGGAACTTCCGGTCCCTATCTAGTACTTATTATAGTTAAGATGGGACTGCTTCTCGTCAAGGGGGGAAAAGATCAGCTTCCCTCTCGCGCCTCAACGGAAGTGGGCTTGGGGAGGCCTTAAGTGATCCATTCTCTCTCGCGCCTCAATAGAAGTTGGCTTGGGGAGACCTTCAAGTGACTCATTCTCTCTCGCGCCTCAAAAAGAAGTTGGCTTGCTTAGGGAGGCTTTCGTTTCACCTGTACACGGCTCTCCTTCGCCTTAGCTCACACGAAAGCACCTCCCTTCTGGCCTCCAACTCCTGCAAGCCCTCTTCCCTACGCTTCTTGAGGATGCACTCCTGGCAGGAGTCCTTCGTCGAACTCCAAGAGGTGTACACCTTCGGCAGACACATGGAAAAACAGCGACGAAACTCATTGCGGCATACGGTCATACATGTACGAAACGATGTGGTTTTTTTCTCTTATCTTGCTGACGTCATCTATTTGCGTTACCATTGTAAGACTGTTCCGGCATACGGTCGTACATGTACGGAACGATATGGTTTTTCTCTTCTCTTGCTGACGTCATATGTTTTGCGTTGAGGTCTATTTACACTCTGTTAGTGATTCTTTAGGACTAACCGATGTTGCAGTTTTCAAGGCTAGGTTCCTCACGCGAGCAAGGCTAGGTTCCTCACTCCACATCTACCCTAACCCTAATCCTAACCCTAACCCTCACCCACGGCCAAAGCACGGCCTAGCGGCCGCGAACTGGTCGAGAACGCGGCTGCGCCGCGTTCTCGGAATGCGGAACGGCGAGAGGAAGCTGGAGAGGGTCAAGGCTAGGAACCAACGCCGGACCAATCAGAGGGCGTAAAAGCCGTTAGATAGGAAGAGTCACTAACAGATTGCAAAAACTGCTGTTTGCGTTACCATTGTAAGACTGCTCATCTTCAGAAAGAATGGCCCAGAACTTGGACTACAAGAGACCAACAACAACGACGACGACGACGACGATAACAACAACAACAACAACAACAACAACATAATCATCATCATCAACAATAACAACAACAGCAACAGCAACAGCAACAGCAACAACGACATCAACAACAGCAACAACAGCAGCAACAACGACGCAATCAACAACAACGATATCAACAACAACAACAACGACATCATCAACAACAACAACTCACCTGAGGAGCATCGCAGGTGGTGCAGGAGATGCACTGGCCGCAGATCCATGTCCCCTCCGGCGGCTTGTCCGTCGACGGCGTCAGGCAGTACGTGTGGTACGCGCGGTCGCACAGCTCGCACATGAGTAGGAGAGACTCGTCGGACTTGGCAGTCTCCGTGCAGACCTCGCACACCTGGCGGAGGGTAACGACGCGCGAGCGCATGGTGGTGCAAGGGCAAGCAGATCTGTTTGGTGGAACGCGCCCCAAGACGATGCTTCCAAGCACGATGCGATGTCTCGTCGTCTTCCACGGAGGGGCGTAGCGGTCAGTATCGCATCTTGCTCCCGCCAGATTTACACGGCACCGACACAAACGAAAAACACTTGCTGTTGTGTCCCTTGCCAAGCGCAAAAAATGCCATTTCAATTTTCAGTCTATAATAGGAGACGCCATACATATATGGTGAAGCAAACCAAAACACACTCACAAAACCAAAAACGCGCACCCACACCAAGAAAGCGCACCCATGACATGAGTACCCCCCCACCCTCCGGTGC